TATTTTTTCCTTACTCCCTACCAGATGCTATAAGACAGTTACAACCAAGTGATAGGATATTAGAGTGTCTGAGATCCACTGTTCCCTCTGAGCCGTAATAAATACTTGTCTAGAAAACAATCCTGTAGTGTAGACTGCTGGGAAGTGTTTTCTCCATTCTTCAAATGGGAAAATAAAGTAAAAACATAAATGAAAATTTTCTGGAAGCCAAATTTAGAATTTTTAGTTTCCCTGTCTACCATTTTAACAAAGACAATATGCACTCTTCCCCTAAAGTTTTCAAGGTTTGTTTTCCTTCAGCTTTATGTTCATCTTAAACTTAGGGCATTGATCACCTATGGTAAAGGTAATTCTGAAGAGATATATTCAAAAGTACAGATAAGGTCACTAGGGCTAGTCCCTCTAAGCATAACTTATGATAAAATATAATTTGAAAGCAACAGTGAGAGTGTTTCCTTATTTTATATAAAAAAAGACGTGTTAATAAAAGAAATCACTACACAAAACAGAATTTCTAAGAAGATATTTTACTCTGTTCTATTTTCAAATTGTTTCTGCAGTAATACTGACTGAAAAGCTATCCACTTTAAGTCCTCTTTAAAAAAATAAATCTGAGAACTTAATTCAGCAGTTGGCTACAAAGAATAGTAGTCTCATAAAATCAAGTATTTTGGTCAAAGCCTTAACATTTTTAATTTTCACATGCAAATTCCAAATCTGAATTCTCTGAAACTGTTAACCCTGCTAAACAGAAGGTGGGATGTGGCTAAGGCAAGATTTAATTCTCATATAACTGATAAATGGCTATAACAGCTCTACTATCTAATTGTATTTTAAAACAGCACATTAGAATCTTAAAAAAAGGCCTTGTTTTTAGCATTCCAAATTCCTCCAGTAGAAGGCCATATCAATTTCTGATAATGCCAGCAAGGCAGGATGATACAGTGAAAATATCATGGGCTTCAGGGTTAGAGAGATGTGAGTTCTTATCTAACCTCTCTGAAGCTATGCTTCCCCATAGCTAAGTTAAATCACCACAACCACTACCTACTTCATATGGTTGTTAGGTTTGGAGGCTGGTGCTGCAATTACAATGAGGGGTATCCTAATTCAGGTAGTAAGCAATGAAGATGGATAAGAGCAATATTTGGAAGTTATGAGTATCAATAACAACCAACATTAACTAGGCTGCAAAGAAAAGCAGGAGTCAAGGAACATGCCCGCAATTTCCACTTAGGTGACAGTACATTTATTGAGCTAGGGAACACAGGAAGGACACAACGCTTAGAGAAGCAAATAAGCTCAGTTTTGAATGTACTGTGGGATCTGTAAGAAATTCAAGTGAAAATGGTCAACAGGCAAACCGAGATACAGGTATAGAGGTGGGAGAAAGATCTGAGGTGGAGATACGGACCTGAGAGTCACCAGGTCCGTATGGATGCAAAGCATGGGACAAGATGCAACTGCCCAGAGAGAAGAAAAGTAAAACCTACAGAAACTTATAAACACCAACATTTAAGGGAACTGCAGAGGAAGTGAGCACACAAAGGAAACTGAATAGGTCCTGTCCAAAAAGGAAGAAAATCCCCGAGAGTATGGTATCAGAAGCCTAAGGAAGAGACTGATTCAAAGTGAAATAGGATAAGGTAAGATTGTAGAAACAATGGAAAGTTATGTTTGCAAAAAAACCCATTTAGCAGTAAAGAAGAATAGAATGAATATGAATAGTCAACTGTCTTCAAATTTCTCTGTTTCATGGAATAATAATTTGACTTGCTCCTGAAACAGCAGTTGGACCAAACCATGGAGTCTATGACAATAAAACAGACTTCCATCTATCTAACAAAGAATTGAGTTCCTTCAAGTGCTGAGTTCCCGATCGCTAGCAATGTTCAGTAGATTCCACTACTGGTTAAGAAGCGGGATGAGATGGCTTGAACTTTCAGTTTAAGTAAATTACAAGGACCAAACTAAATCTGAAATAGTTTGCATTAAAAAGAACAAAGGGAGCCCGGCCGGGCGTGGCTCTGCAGTTGAGCGTTGACCTAGGATCCAGGTGATTGGGGTTCGATTCCCGGTCAGGGCACATGCCCGGGTTGCGGGCTTGATCAATGACTCTCTCATCATTGATGTTTCTATCTCTCTCTCCCTCTCCTTTCCTCTCCCTGAAATCAATAAAGATATATTTAAAAATATAAAAAATTTAAAAAAAATAAAAAGAACAAAGGTAAAAGCACAACAAAAAAGTTTTTAACTACTCAGAAACATAAAGTAACGGTTGTACAAAGTTTTAAAATTAGATTACATTAATTCTAAGTAAAACACAAAAAAGATAACAGGATTTTTATAACCTTGTGAGTCCAAAGTAAAACACTAAACATGATATAAAAACTTTTATGATTTTTAGCTGTAATACTTCTGGTTCCATGTCATTAAAACCTACCCAACTGAGTTTTTATAACTTTTTACTACTAAAAAGTGATGTTCTTTCTTTTCTTCATTTTAAAGTTCAGACACATTGGTTTGTTTACTTGGTTTTATGTTTATTTTCATGTTTGTTTTATGGTAGCGTTTATAAGAATTATTTGCAATGCTGGGTATTTTTCATTTGGCCTCCAGAGCCACCTGCTCTGCGCCCTGGGGCCTGACGAGCATGGAGCGCCAGCAGACCGGGTTGGCTGTGGCTCCTTCCTTACTGAAGGTTCTCTACTGATGGCTGCTATCAGGCAACCCTCTCCTATACCTACAGCTCTTGCTGGTTCAGGTGATCACTCCCTTCCCCTGGCCCTTTTAGACAGACGTGGTAACAGCTCTTGCTGTTACCAGCTAGCCTGGTCATCACTGCTTGCTGGTTTCCTTTAACCTGCCTAAACTCTGCAAACAATCCTTTCGTTAAATTCTTTTCTATTAATACTGTAAGTGTTCTGTTTCCTGCCAGAACCCTGACTCATCGTTGTTACTGATGTTTTCAATACAGTAATTATATATTGTACTATAACCACTATAGAAAATACCGCATGAGAAAACACCCATGATCATAAGCTTTTACATTTCTTGTCAAACTAAATTCTTAAGAATGGAAAATAAATATTACCAACATAAAAATGGATAAAACGAATTATTTGTAAATTTTACTAAAATTAACACCCAAAAATCTTGCAGTCATCCTCGACACCTCATTCTCACATCTCATATCCAATCTATAAATCCTTTCAGATCTATCTTCAAAATATACCATTTCTTGTCTGAATTTTTGCAAGCCCCTAAGTGCCTGAAGGCTTCTGCCCCTGCTCTTGACCTCCTCCAGTCTTTTCTCAACAGAGCAACCAGAGTATTTCTGTTAAAAAGTGTTACTGGATTGGATAGATTTTTTTAATGGTAAAAATCATGACTTTTATAAACATGATAAAATGAACATATGTCAAAGATATTATTTAACTCATTCATTAACGAGGGAACCATTGAGATGTTACAACTGGTTCAAAGGAGAGTTCCAAGAACCACACCTACACAGAGAGAATGAGGAATTCTGAAATAAATTTACAAATAGATGTAAAACATTTATTCACAGGGCAATAATCAATTGCATTCCACTGGACACAATTCATTTGCACTTCTATGGATAAGATTCATGTGTATTTTAAAGTTTTCTACAAATTACAAAACTGTAAAATAACTCAAAGAAAATGAGACAGATCAATCCAATAAATGAATAAAGAGGGACCACCCACTCATCATTTTTGTCCATTTCAAAGTCATTCACAATTTTCCCTGACAAAATCTTGCATGGCTCCCCTATTCCCCTGAAAGTAAAAAGGCTTTTTAATGGCCTGGCCTACAAGGTCCTAAATATTTTGGTATCGTTCCCTGCCCTTCTGGCACCACTACTGATCTCCTGTACTTTACAACTCTCCCCCTCCACACACTATTCTAGCCACACTGCTTTCCGAATACACCAAGCATGATCCTACCTCACATCCCTTGCAACTGTTGTTCTATCTGGAACACTCTTCAGCCAGATACCCACAGAGCTTGCTTCAGATCTTTGCTCACAAATCAATTTAGTATAAGACTTCCCTGAGCACCCTACGTAAAACAGGCAGACCCCTATCCTGTAAGGGAAGGCCCTTTTCCACTTACACTGCTATATTATTCTCCAAATGACTTATTACCAACTGACACACTATATATTGACTTCTTTAATTCTGAGTCCCTCTCTATCCCACAGCCACCACAAAATGTAAGCTCCATTGAGGCAAAGACTTTTTCTTCATTGCTACACTGCCCCAATGCCTGGAGTGCTGAACACATTAAATGCTCGATAAATTTTAGTTAAATGAATAAATACCCTAGTATTAGATGTTTCAAAACAGCAGCATACTTACTGATAAATCTTGTGCCTGAATTTCTGCAGCAGGAAAACATATCAATAAAACTACAACCAAATAATCTTACATTTTTACTAACTAACATGTTATTTAATAATTTATCGATTACTTTTAAAAATGGAGCTCAAAATTAACACTTAGATTTGCCTGAATACTGAACAGCTATGTAATGCAAAATGCTCTGGAATTTAGCATGTAGTATCACAAATCTCTTTTAGAAGCACTGCTTCTAAGCAATGCAGCTGCCAAAGTGAGCAAAGTATGTTGACAAGACTTGGCTGCCACCAGATGTCCTCCTTTTCATACTACACAGATTCAAAGACTGTTATTTGGACTGTAGTTATTACAGCAGATGTGATGCCTAAAGATTCTATCTGGGCAAGTGAACTGCCTAAAAGTAATTTTCAACCTATATTACTTCCTCCAAGCTTGGTCACTCCTTGAAGTTCTTGCAGTCTTAGGATGGGTCTAGGTGAAGGTGAGTAAATCTAGGGCTGAGGCTGCTACTTATGTTGGATTTCTGATCCAAACCCTTTCCCTAAGTTCTTTCCATTTTTAACCATAAAGGGTGCCTAATTAGCTAGTATTTTCTTTGAATAGCACTTGAATTACCTGCCATATGCAATTCCAACACCAACATCTTTGGTTTCATTATTTGGTATTTCTTTGATCTAATTATTTGGTAGTGATTTCGGCTAAAAGAGAAATATGGTTATATAAGTGAAAAGCACAAGTGTGAATCATCACAGGATACTAAAATAATGGTTTAACTATCACATTTGTTTCTCCAAGTATTTTCTTTCTTTACCCTAATTCACTCAAAAATATGTATAAAAATTCAAAGGATAAAAGAGCTTATCTTTTTCTTCATCTATAAATAAAGCAAAGATAAAGCTAACAAAGTAAGGCTTTAAATTTCTCTTATTGATAAGGCTAAAATTGTTTAAGACTGAGTTTGCTAGCATTTTCACTTTTTAATTAAAATGCTACAAATTAATGTTTATTTTGTCAAAACTAAGCATGTCCATTAGTAAGGAAAAATATCATGAACACATTCTACCCCAACCCAAGAAAATATCTGGGTTGGAGACAATAAATGCTGTTTTCCTAATGAAAGGTGGGATGAAAGCAGGTTTACAGTTGTTCATATGGAAAATAATACAATAATCAATAAGTAATAATACAATCACACACTGTTTTGCATACTCACAACTGTAAACATACTTTTCCCTTACCCTGTATATGGCCTCAGTGACGTCTGAGTAATAAAAAGAAAAACACACCATCATTCAAGTGCCTAAGGCAAAATTATTCTGAAAAACAGAAAATTTCTTATTTGAAACCATTATCTCTCTTTAAATTATTAAAAATGTGTTAAGATTATATCAAAGAATAAGAAAGGACTTTTAGGTGAACAAATTATACTTTCAAAGGTATAGTCAATATTTTTACAAGAATTTTGGTTGGTCTGAAGACTAAAAATTTTAAACGATACTAAAGAACTTAATATTATATAAACACAACTTTCTACCACTTATGAGTAGGCCTTCAGCTGGCAGCAAATGCAGCACAAAAAATGTTAGGTCTGTTTGCAAGAACCAGTTATGCAATACCCTCAAGCAAATTACTCTATTACTAGATTTTTTTAAAATTGAGTTGCTCCAGAAGTAGTATGTATTAAAAAATGAAAAAAAAAAATGAAATATGAGCAAAAATCTGGTAAGAGTTGTGAAGTAAATGATTTCTGGTTTTAAAAAAATACTTGAGAGCCCTGGCAGGAGTGGCTCAGTTGGTTGCCCGTCATCCCATGCACCGAAGGGTCGCTGGTTCAATTCCCAGTCAGGGCACATGCCCAGGTATGGGTTCAGTCTCCGGTAAGGGTGCATGCGGGAGGCAACCAAACAATGTTTCTCTCTCTCCTTTCTCTCTCTCCTCTCTCTCTCTCTCTCTCTCCCCCTCTCTCCCTCTCCCTCTCCCTGCCTCCCTTTCTCCTCCCTCCCTCCCTTTCTTTTTCTCTAAAATCAATAAAAACATATTTTTAAAAAATAAAACATACTTGAGAGACTCGGTATCTATTAATGTATGGTATATTTGTTACAATTGATAAACTAATATAGATACATTATTATTAACTAACATTTTATTCAAATTTCCTTAGTTTCACATAATGCCTTTTTTTTGTTTCAGGATCCTATCCAGGATATCACATTACATTTAATCATCGTTATCTCCTTAGGTATCTGAGTTTTCCTTGTTTGATGACGTTGGCAGTTTGGGGGAATACTGGTTTTGCAGAATGTCCCTCCTTCTGGCATTTGTCTGCTTTTTTCATGAGTATGTTATGAGTCTCGGAGAGGAAGACCACAGAGCTAAAGTGCCATTTTCATTACATCATATTCCCTGAAGCACATTATCTATATCACTTTTGATGTTAATCCTGATCCCTGGCTGAGCTAGTAGTGTCTGTCAGGTTTCTCCACTCAAGGTCCCCCTCCCAACCTTCGTTTCTTAGTGACTCTTTGAAAGGAAGTCATTACATATAGCCCCATTTAAGGAGCGGGAGCTTATGCTCTACCTTGTTGGAGACAGAGCAAGTGACAAATTATTTGGAGTTCTGCACAGGAAATCTGTCTCTTCTCCATTTATTTATTTATTCAATCATTTATTTATAGCAGTATGAATCCCTGGATGTCATTTTATACTTTGGATTGTAATCCAACACTACTTTATGCTTTACTTACTTTCTTGCTCAAATGATTCCAACTCTGGCCACTAGGAGCTCTTTTAGCTGGTGCCTATGTCCCTCTGACATATTCCCATCACAGTGGTTTTATTTCTTGCCCCACTCCTACAATCGCCACTTCTCCAAGGAGCCCGTTCCTTTCATTGGAGAATTGTATTAGAAACCAAGATCTGGGCACCAGGTATGCTCTTGCTGCTGGGGTGTCACTACTTCTCAGAGAGCCTCGGTTTTTAACTGAATTTTACATTATTTAGTGGAAAATTTGCATACAAAATATAGAAATAAATTCATGCATTGACCAGACTAGGCTTACAGAGTTTTAAAATTAGTTAATGCAATCATAGGTGTATTTATCATCTTTTACAGATGTGTTTTGGACATAATCTAAAAATATAAGGAAGAGTAAATTTTTTTAAATATAAGATTGGGACATGCCTTTTAAAAAAAAGGGGGGGG